CGCCAGATCGACAGTTCCTGTATCAAATTTAACACGTATATTCATGTTGGCTGTGTTTGGCCTTTTCTTACATGCGAAAGGAAAAGGGCATCGGTAGGGATAGTAGTGTTGCATCATGGCGCCGCGTGAGTCTCCAAGGTGCATGATTATTATGCGTTTTTGCATACGCGCAAATTGCAAAAGCGCATAATGGGAAGAGGTTTTTTGTATATGTTTGTGCGTTCGCACTTTTTGTCACCCACTTTCAACTCCAAAACCAGAAAAGTCAGAAGGCTCAAATTTTGGGAGTATGTGCCCATACCATGCGTACCCTCCCGTTTTAATATTATCCCCCGCAAGCGCTTGGGTGCCGCGTATGGACGCTTTAAAAAAGTATGCAAATTTTTTGGCGGGAAAGCGATCTCGAGAACCGGACAAGGTAAGGAATATTCACTGTGCAAGCATTAGCTAAAGGTTTCAAATTCAGCCTCTAGGTATGCGTGGTATTCAAGAGCGTATGAAAGTTTTGGCGAGAAAATTACTAACTCAGGAACCAGGAGAGCTAGAAAGCTGAAATTTTGGGAGAATGTCTCCTGTCAAAGTCAAGGTACAACTTAAATATTTCAAATCCACCCCTCAGGTATGCGTGGTTCTTACATATAAGCACGTGAAAGATTTAGCGGAAGAATTGTTAACTCGGCAACCAGAAAAGCTGGGGGGCTAAAATTTTGGGGCAATGTTCCCTGTTCAAGTACAACTCAAATATTTCAAATTCAGCCCCACCTATGCGTTGTTCTCACGTAAAAGCGTATGAAATTTTTTGCCGGAAAATTACTAACTCGGGAACCAGAAAGCTGAGATTTTAGGAGAATGTCCCCTGTCCAAGTACAACTTAATTTTTTTAAATTCAGCTTTGAGCTATGCGTGGTTCTTACGTACGGGCAATTAAAAGTTTTGGCGGAAAAATTTAGGTTATTTTTAAAGAACGTCCGTTAAATGGAAATTGTACATTTACTTCATGCAAAATTTATGGTGATTTATTCTGGTGACTGCAAAAGGTGGGTGTAAAACAACAACCATTCATACACTTAATGATCTGGGTACTTCAAGTCTGGTGCACAAACACATGATCGCACGGGCCCGCCCCGTGCTTTCCACCCTGGCTTAATTATATATGAAGGGAAATGTTTTCGGTGATCGGTCGTTCGTCGAAAAGTGCAAATTTGACAGCCCTGAGGATGTTGGAAGAGAAGGATTACGAAATCCGTAAAATGCACTCGCGTTTGAGGATGTAATAAAACTGAGTTTTTGTTATGTTCATGTTCAAGGAATTTAACCTCCGTGCTGAATTTGGATTGCACCTGAATACGGAATAACTTCGCAGAGGTTCGGCTTTGCAGCTTTTTTAGAAGGCAAAATCACCACTTTGCTAGAAAAATTTTCGACATGCTCTGAGGCAAGGAGAAAGTGCAAGTTCCGATTTAGGTGTTCGGTTTCTCAGATGAACGATAGATACCCTGGTGGGATTACAGGTACTACTTTCCGGCTAGTTATGCGTTTTGCGTTGTGTAACAGCTGCACAAAACGCGTGTATGTTTGTATGTGTGTGCACACGTTTGTATATATGCCCGAGTACGTTTTGTTCAACATTGTAAACTCGAAAATTACAAGAGCTAAGAAGCTGAGATTTTAGAATAATGTTCCCAGTCCACATGTGACTCCGTAAAATTAATTTCAATCATCCCGTACTACAGGGTGTCATTCGCGACCCCGCGAGAGTTTTGGCGGGAAAATTATCATCTCAGGAGTCACTAGAACTGGGAAATTGATGTTTTTGGGTAATATCCCCAGCCCACATGCGTCTGGGTCTCAAATAGGACCCTACAAATTTTCGGTGAAAAAAATTGTTATCTCTGAAACTAGAACGGCTAGAAAGCTAAGATTTCGGGATGATGCTTCAGCCTGCGCAGGAACTCCAAAAAGTCAAATTTAGCTCCATGTATGACTAGGTGTCACGTGCAGTCACGAAAAAGTTTTTGCGCGAAATTCACTCGGAAGCCAGGAATCTAGGAAGCCCCAGTTTCGATAGAATTTTTCCCTTCCATATGCGGTCCAAAGTTTTCAAACTCAGCTTTCTCGTTCGCATTTCATATACTGGCAAGTGAAATTTTTTTGGAAAGCTTCGTAGCTTACGAAACAGGCAACATATCGACTATTTTTGTACACCAAAGTATAAAACACTGAACATTCTTTACAAACAAACGTCCGCCGGACGGAACTGCGCAAGATGCATGATCATACCAGCTAGCCTGGTGCGCGCCGCTATTTATTTACTGTTTATGAGGGTACTTCAACGTGGCTTGAGAATAGCTACGCTTGAAGAAGTTGATGATGCTTAATACATACTGCTGAATTTCCAAGTGACTAAAGAATTGCCATAGCACTTCTGTCGATAATCCTTTTAGAAGGTGAAAGAAGCGTCAGGATTGTCGGAAGGCTGACCATGCAGCAATGGTTAAAACAAAAGTAAAATGAAGAAAGAAAGTGACATGGTTATTGGTTTCACCCTTGGCGACCTACTGAATGTGAGTACAAACACCAGTGGTGGACTAGTAACCGTTTCAGATACCAACCTTGTCGAAGTATGCGAAGTAGCCTTATTTGCTGAGTTCAGAATTTTTCGCTGGCCGTGCGCTGCTGTGAAAAAGTTGCTGCGAAATGTCGACTTTCGTTTGGGATCAACCAGTTGGGAAAACACTGTGCATCTTGAGTAAGGTTGCAGGCTAAGTTATGTAGTTTCTTTGTCAGATTCCTTCTTTACAGTAAAACGGGGAACTTCAGACACTGTTGAACCGAATTTTCGATTCTATTTGAAGCTTTTGTCAAAAATAGCCAAATATTATTCAGAGCTGCAAATTTCCCCACTCAAATACCGTTTCTAGTATTTATGCGCTCTGTTTGCTCATTAGTTCCGAAACCATTATCAAATCTATTAATTTAACGGGTCGGTACGAAAATTTTCACTGGTTGGCCAACCACAAATTCCTTTTGACTTCAAATTTCTATATCTGCATAAAGCAGCACAGAAAAAGAAATGACTACTATCGTGGACAAGAGCTGTTACTAAATGCCAGTGAAGCGGCTTTTGAAGGTCGGGTATCAGCTTGGTAAATAAATGATGAATTTTATATATGATGCGCATTTTTGATATTGCTGTTGTATTTGCTTAATACTATTGTTGCTATCACCCAAGAAGCTCCAGCCCAGGCTTGTAATTGTGTTGTGCGGGCAGGGCAGCTGACTAAACAGTATCGAGGTACTGCAGGGTACACGTCGAAAGTAAACGATCACTCCGGCAGTCCTTCAAGAGTTGGCAAGCATGCGTCGAAGAGGCGTGGGAACGAGCTGGAAGTATGCGGCCTAGGTAACTACGCCCGGTGTATAGGAGCAACCCAGTAGCATCCGCCTAATATGGAATGCCCGCACCGATAGCTTGGGCGTTCTTGACATCTTTATAAGTTTCTATATTAATGCTGTTTAACAGCAGCAAATTATGTTATATGCATGTATGTAGTGTATAATTCATATGCGCTCTTGTATTGGCACCGTACATGCTTTTATATTGACACTGGTATTGTGCATGCTTTTGTTGTCGTTCTCTTTGTTGAGCGGAAAGCAGGAGCAAAAATGCTGCTTCGTTCAGAAAATCATTGGCGACGCACACCAGACTGACCGGTGCGATCACACTTTTTTGCACCACTTCGTGCTGTAAGACCACTTGAAATCCCAGTAGCTAGAATTTTTGATAAACTGGCCATCCAAGTTCAGGAAGTAAATTGTGCAGCTATGTTGTGTTCCAGTTGTCGTGTTGGCATTAATGACCTAACAAACAGAAGGTAGCTGTTGCTAGAGAAGAGTTGAATATGAAATCTTCTAATGGTACATGAGTTGGGGAACATTCCCTTAAAATTTCAGCTTCCTGGCTTTTCTCTTCTCTGAGTCAGCAATTTTTCCGTCAAAATTTTTTCTTGTCCGTGCGTGAGATGTGGACGGCATTTAGGATCTGAATTTGAAATTTTTTTAGTACTGTATGAATACGGGACAATTCCAGCTTCCTAGCTCTTCTTGTCGCCGAGTTAGAATTTTCTCCGCCAAAACTTTCACGTGCCCATACGCGAGACGCAGACAAGCGTGATAGTTGACATCATGTCCCTGAGGTCGCACTTGTTCAGGGAACACATTGGCAAAATTTCAGCGTCAAAGCTGGCATAGCTGCTGAGTAAAAACATCTGGAAAGACGAACGCACACATGCACAAACATATACACACAGAGGGTTGTCTCAATATGCATCTGTCGCAGTGTTCTAACACTGCAAGGCAAAAACGCATAAAAAGCATAGAAATGCTGACCTGCTGAAAAGAGAGAACATCTTCACAGCTAGTTTTTATTCATTTTCTTGCATAATTTGAGCATTGTATAGAAGGCAAGTGATTCTGAACAAACATCATACACATTGGCAGTGCTCCATCGGAACAATGAATACTGTTTAAAAAACGATAATGCATCGCTCTGTTTGGTCTGATATTACAGCTATAATACGAGTGGTTACAGACAACTGACTGAAAAGCACTGAACTTAATTTCTTTCAGCAAATTCTGTAACTCTTCCATGCTTATCTAACAAGCAGCTGGCCCATTATTGCTTATCTCTGATAAGAAAATAAGTATCTCGAGCTTGTGATAGACATTTGAACTTTTCAACATTTTCTCCTCTTGAAAATCAAATCATGTCGTACCACTTGTCTATTTTTTGTCTGCAGTGATACTACATGTCGAAAAATATTTCATGATGTCACAAGGTAACCTCGCCCCCAAAAAAAAAATCATAGCATCACTTCTCGATTTACTGATTTTGTGGAAATTTGCAAAGTCCTGGGTCGGGTACTTGCAGATTTGATGTCTATACGTAATGTGCAGAAGAAAAATGTACTTTCTGAGTTAAATGTTCGGATTAATGGTTATTAGACCACCTCAGAATGGGAGTAACGCGATGCTGGCGTGGTATAAGTAACCTCTGCTCGATCATAACCTTCTTCAACCAGACCTCTTTGGCGATCATTTTTCTTGAAGAATTTTTCCTCGGAGGTTGTTTGTTGGTGCATCATTTGAGGAAAAACAGTCGTCGCACGCTGCGCCTCACCGATTACCGCTTCTCCAGTTTGGAAGACTGCTGCATCAGTACGGAACCGGCTTTCTGACTCTGCGGAGTCGCGACGTCCTTCCGTCTGCTCTTGCTCTTCACTTACTCGCTCCAGATGTCGAATACCTCTGTGTTGCTCAGATAAGGTTTTTCGAGTAACTGCACTACCCCTACTCGTGGATTCTGCCCAGTGTGGTCGAGGCTGCAGCTGTGGCTGCTTGATGACCATTGCAGCGCGCGATCGACTTGCTGTTGACCGTGCACATTCGGAAAATGATTCGGATGGCGTACGATAGATCCGGCGGCCCGAATCCGTTCTTCCAGCTGCGGTTTCATCTTTCGAGATGCCACCAGTATCCAGTTCTTTTGAGGGAGCAAGAATAGTAGGAGTTTCAGTTCTGGTTGCTCGCCGAGCTGCTGGTACTGTATCGGCTATCTTTCTCTTGCGCATCCAGAGTCGAGAAAATAAAAGCAGCAGCAATGACAATAAACAACAAAGAAGCAGTATTAGGCCAAGAATAAGTAGAAGCCAAATCCACCATGGCCAGTTCGTTATCGATGTGTCCAAAAGCCTCGCAGCTGGCTCATTTAAAATAACTAGATTCGTAACTTGCTGCGGGAAGGCTGTCAGACTCGGTAAAATATTTCGTTCGCATGCTCTCTGAAAAAATACGCTTCTGCTACTATTACTAAGCGAAAACTGCCTGCGGTTTCAGGCATAGCTGGAATTCTTTCTGAAACGACATGGAATAAAGAAGCAAGCCAGCATTTTTACCAAACTGCTAACACTTTATAATGATTAATAGCGGCATGCACCAGCGGGGCTAAAATGGTTATGCGGTTTTGCGATAAACCGCTGTGGGCTTACAATAAGTGAACCTACAGGAGTTATGGCTGCAATGGTTCTTTGACCTTTCTAACGGAAATAAAATTTTGCCTAGTAGCAGCAAATGATAGAGATGTCGTAATGCAGACTGTCACTGTGTTCGCAGGATGATAATTCGTGAGGCTAGATATTTCACATTAGTTGATTTAGGGCGCAGGTTGTCGAGAAAGCTGATTTACATTTCTGAATCCGTGTACGCCCCAGAAAAATGCTCTTTTATTTCATCTTCCTAACTTTCGAACTTACTGAGTGGAATCATTGCGATAAGCATGCTTTCACGGATACAGAGACATACACAAAAGAAATACCTAGTAAAAATGCGTACATGGAAGCGAGCCCTTTTGGCGAAAATTCACGGTGAGGTGCTAGAGGATAGGGTCCCTTATCTTGTGAATAGGAGTATAAAGTAGAATTTTGGCTTAATTAAACGCAATGTATAACATACTAGTTTTGTTTAAATTCATTTCATATTCATATCCTCATTCGCTTAGAGTTATAAAATTATGAGAAATTTTGACTGAGGATGTAGATCAGGAAGTAAGGGAAGTTTGTGCAACTTTTTTTGGTTCGCATATTCGTACAGAATCCAGGATCTTGCCGTCAGTATTTCGAGTCTGGTTTTTGAAGTAAACCTGAGATCAAAAATCAAAATAACCAATAACACCCTGATCAATGGATGGTAGTGCATCAAAAGTCAAACACTTATGCACGCAAGAAATGCATAAATGAAATAAATAGAAAAATAATCGGAAAAACAAAATCCGGGTAGCAACGTGTGCCAGGGTTTTCGGTGCAGTCATGCGTATTTCTTTTTTGCGCCGCAGAGGATCAAAATTTCATTTTTCTTGCCAGTCTAACTGCCGAGAAAGTCGGATGATGAAAGAAGTTGCAGTTTGAAAATGTGATGCGTCTGTGTGCTAGAGACATGCGTAAAAAAAGCTCATTTTACGCCTGCTGGCTTGTAGGTGAACAGGAAAATTGTCAGAAAAATGTGATTTTTGCTCAGCTTTGTTATCGAGTTAATTGGTACCAAAAGTGTTTCAAACTAAGCTTTCACTCGTGCACACGCTAGACCTAGCGTGGTTTAAAGTTAAATTTAAAATATTTCGATTGTAAATGGGAACAGAATATCTTTGTAAAATTTCAGTTTCTTAGCTTCAGTGGTTGGCGAAAACGCTTTTCATTACAAAAATTTTTGATGTTTCCGAATACTTTGCACAGGCGTACGCCCAAATTTATTTTATGTGCGGACAGCATATGTTCTCGTAATCGAAGCACCCTACTCAGTCGAGTTCCCAAAATGGCGTCTTGCCAACGAGGTTTTGATTTCAACTATGACGTATTAGTAAGTGTGACGAAGGCATACGTAATATCTGAATTTGAAGCTTTCAGTCACCGAAGGGGAGAGCACATCATTTTAATATTTCAGCCCTTATTCTCGAAATCGCTTTCCGTCAAAATTTTCTGCATTTTCATTGAAGCGTCTGTGCATAAAACTTGGGTGTACGTGAACAATGATTTTGAGGTGAAAGATACACATGAGGTGAGTATTTGTTCCAAAAATTTCAGCTTCTTAACTTTTTTAGCTGCTGTGTTGAAAATGGCTGATAGAATCCGAATATTGATGTACACACAAAAACACAGACAAACTCTTGCCACTATTCGTTCTTGCATTTGCATAAATATAATATAATTGGCCAGCACACCGGCCGCCGGTGTGAAGATGCGTTGTTTGCGCAGTTCCCCGCAGGTTTTTGTCGCTAACGGTACTTTTTTTCCGGCAGATACTTTTAGCTAAAAAAATTGAAACTGCCCACCGGGACTGTCAAAAAACATCCCTTTAAAATTTCAGCTTTCTAGTTTTTCTTGTTTCCGAGATAGCAACTTACCCGTGAATAATTTTCACGGACCTGTACATGCGAACCATGCGCACCTGGGGGCTGGGTTCGAACTTATTAAATCCTATGTGGACGAGGAACATCCCTTAAAATTCCAGCCTTTTAGCTTTTTAGGTTCCTCAGTTAGTAATTTTTCCGCCAGAAACTTTCACGGGCCTGCACATGAGAACCATGCACAGCTGCGGGCTGAATTTAAATTCTTCTGATTGCACGTGGACAAGGAATATCCCCTTGAAATTGAAACTTTCAAACTTTTCAGGTTCCTGAGTTAGCAAGTTACCGGCAAAAAACTTTCGTGGGCCCGTACGTGGGAACCACTTGTAAAAGAGTGCTCAGTTTGGGGACAGGGCTCGTACATGCATGCAAATAAAGTCCCCAAAGCTTCAGCGTTGCAGTTTTTGTAGGTCTCGAGATGAAAAACCGGTACTGAGGAATACACACACAAACAACCCCCCGACAGTATGCATTTTCGCATTGTATGGATTCAAATCATCGATGACACGCGCCGGGCTGGCTCGTGCGATCATACGTTTTTGCAACATTTCGTGCTGTAATGAGATCGCTCGGAAACCCAGTAGCTAGAAATGTATGATATACTGGTCCTCG